TGGCTGAGGACTTGATTTTGGGATTGGTGAAGATCCTTTGGAGCTTTTCAAGAAAGTGAGTGGTCTGGTGAAAGTGGTATTTATGGAAGTTTAATCTGACGGTGTGGCATGTGCAAGGAGAGCGTGGAGGAAGAAGAGAGTCAGGAGCTGACTGTAGTTGAGACACTCAAATCTTGGCCGGTAGAGCACCCAGAGCAGGAGTCTCCTCAGCAGGGTTCCTGATGGTCGTGTTAAATACCCAACCTCCCCCTTTGCCTTTGGAGACTCACAAAAGCAGCTTGTTCCATTGTGGGACAACTGATTAGAAAGCTTTTCCTGATGCTGATCCAGAGTCCATCTTTGGCTAACTTCCACCCATGGGTTCTAGTTCTGCTTGTTGGCATCACACAGTAAATCTATTCCCAAATCCGTAAGATAGCCCTTCATATATCGGTCCCCTCAGTCTCTTCTTTTCACACTGAACATCTCCAGTTCCCTTGCCCAGTTTTCCTGTAATGTAATTTGAGCCCTCACGGTCGCGTTCACCCTCCTTTGAGAGGTCTCTTCTATGATGTGGTGCCCAGAGATATACAATACTCCAGATGTGCCCTGAGGATTGTGTAATAGTCTCTTTATCCTGGTACTCTACTGCTGTCAATTCAGAATAAGATGCCATTGGTTTTTTGAACAGCTCTCACGCTGTTGACTTGGTTAAAAAAAAAAATTATATGAATGCCTGTACTTATTATATAATTAACTTATTTTTAACATAAGTGCAGGGTTTTTATGTTTAATCTTTTTTGAATTTCATCTTTTTTTTTTTTTTCTGGCCCATCAGCCCAATCTCTTGGGCTCTTTCTGAATTCTGATTCTGCCATTCGTTGTTAGCCATGCTTTTCTGAAGCTTCAGATTGCGTGAGTAGAGGGAGGCAGTATAGTGCAGTGGGGAGAGTGCTAGGTTTGGACTTGGGATCTGGTTTTAGATCTGCCACTCGCGTGACCTTGGGTAAGTCACTTAACCTCTCTAGGCCTCATTATCCTTAACTGTAAAACACAGGGCTTGGACCAGATGACAGGCCATTCAGTGACTTTTGTTTTCATCTGAATTGCTGATAAAAATGTCATACTGGAGAGGGCTTTGAGTATGCCCTTAGCAGTCTTTCAGGTTGATAGTTGGTCCATCAGTGCTCTTTGGGTCCCAGTGTTCATTCTGTCAGGAGAATGCCAGATGTTTGGCCGAGACCCAGGTTGTAATATCGATAGTATTCTCATGATCTGCCAGTTAAGTAATCCTATTAAAAAAAGGAAATAAGAAGGTAGTAGGATTGGAGGGTTATTGGTATTTCAAAGCTGAGACACTATGAAGGATGTCAGGCCTTATCAACAGATTGGCTACTGAGATGAGTGGGAAGGAAGAGTTTTGGATGTTTTGAAGTTGGTCGACTTGGGAAAGATAATGCCTGGGTCAGAAACAGGGAAGTTTGGAGAAAGTGGTCTATGCTGAGCAGGCCTTTTTACCGTCCCTTCACCTGGGTCATTAATCGATTACCAGGAGCCTTAGAATGTCTTCTCTGGGTCCTGAATGCCACTACTATTGGAAGCCAGAGGGGTTGGGGATTTGGTAGTGCAAAAAGCCTTCACCCCATCAGTCTGGTGGAATGCCCTTCTAAAAGGGAAAGGGGCTATCAGTAATCTATTTCTTAGACTGCCTTTGGGGAAAGAGCGAGTAAGATCTGAAACTAACCTCCCACTTTTCTGTTCTGACGCCTCCCCCTCCCCCAGACCCATGAAAACCGGGAACACCTTGTGATGATGGAGAAGATTCTGGGGCCCATCCCCTCTCACATGATCCATCGAACCAGGTAAGAATTCTCCAGCAGAGGTCTAAGGAATTGCTAGTTTGCATTGAGAGTGTGGTCTTAACAAGTCAAGAGATTTAGGTTTGAATCCCATCTCTGGCAAGTGTTGTGTGACCAGGGCACCCATCTATAAAATGGGGATGCTATTACCTTGTACTCCCCATACTAGCAGGTGACAGGAGGCTAGAAGAGTGAGAATAGTTGTTCCACCCAGGGCTGTTGGATTGATTTAAGATGGAATAAGAATTTGGCAGTCATTTAGTCTTATCTGCCCACAAAGAATTCTTAATGTAAAACATCCACTAGTGGTCATCCAGCCTCTGTGAAGACCCCCTTGAATGGGGAGCCCCTCACCTTTTAGGGCGGAAGTTCTGCCTGATATCAAGCCTGCATCTTGATCTCTGTACCACCGCACCCATTGCTGCCCTCTTCAAAGTGACAGTTCTCGGGGTCTTCCCCAGGCTGATCACGAGCAGTTTCTGCATCTGATCCTCACATGACATGGACTGAAGGCCCTTTCCCTTCCTGGTCACTTTCCAGCTTATCAATGGCCTCTTTCAAGTGGGATGCCCAGAACTGAACATGAAGTAGTGTGACCAGGGCAGAGCAACACCTCCTCCGTCCTGGAAATTATAGCCTACCTGATGTTGTAGCCCAAGCTTAGGGTTAGCTTTTAGGGCTGCCACAGCATACTGCTGCCTCAGGGAATTTTCAGAGCTCTTTTCAGAAGAATCATCTGGCCATGCTTCCTGTACTGTATTGTGGAGTTGATCTTGTTGTACCCACATGCAAGACTTTTTGTTATTTCTCCCTACTGACTTTCATCTTCTTAGACTGAGCCCAATGCTGTAGCCCGACTATCGGGCAGAGCTAAACCCAGGTATCCCTAGGTGGACATGGGTGGTCATTGACGTTTGGAGCCTTTCAGGCCAAACCCTGTATTTTGTAGTCTACCTGTACTCCACTCTCTACCAGTGGCTCTTCCTGGAGGGTTAGAGGTGGAGATCCTAGGACATCCCAAGCCTCTGTGTGCTTCCACATTAGGGCCCCAAATGAAGCCTCTGCGCTTCTCAGACATTCTTCTCCTGCCCCAGCTCCCTTGAATCATGTATGGTTCATAGAGTCTGTCTGAACTGACATTTTCTTCACTTCTCTAGCTCTGGGTGCCCCTCCACCCCACCCCACCCCCATTTTCCCTTCAATACCTTCTGGCTCCAGGTGCTATGAAGTGCTGATACAAGGACAGCACAGTTCCCAGTAAGCAACCAAAGCCTTGGCTCCTCTGGGGAGCTCTCAGCCTCCTCCCTGCCTTCTTTTTTCCAGGAGACGTAGCCTGGCATAGTGAGCCAGTCACTAACCCTGAGTCAATGTCCTCATCAGTAAAAGGGGAATAATGATATCAGTAGCATTTAGCTCACAAGTGACAATGTGTGCCAACCTTAAAGCCCTCTCTAATGTCATTTGTTACACTCCAGGAAACAGAAATACTTCTATAAGGGAGGCCTGGTTTGGGATGAAAACACGTCTGATGGCAGATACGTCAAAGAGAACTGCAAACCTCTGAGGGTGAGTGACCTAGTCCGGGCCAAGTACCAGAAGCTGGGACAGGGACGGGAACTTTTGGTTTAGAGCAAGGGCTTCTGAAGAACCTGGGTTCCATTTCTGGTTTTCCGGCTCATTCACTGTGTGACTTAGGACAAGTCACAGCCCCTCTCTGGGTCCGCGTCCTCATCTGTTAGATGAGTGGCTCGGACTTCCAATCCTCAGCTGAGATTCAGTGAGGTGGGTCGTAAGCAAAGGGATTAATCTGTTTATTTCAAAGTGCTTTGTTTCTGGAGGACCAGTCATGGAAGACAGTTCTGGAGGATGGAATGTCCCCAGAGTTGCTGATGACAGGCCGGTCCTTCTTTGCCTCCCCTCCTCAGAGTTACATGCTCCATGACTCCCTGGAGCACGTCCAGCTCTTTGACTTGATGAGGAGGATGTTAGAGTTTGATCCTGCCCAGAGGATCACATTGGCTGAAGCCCTGCTCCACCCATTCTTTGCTGGCTTGACACCCGAGGAGAGGACCTTCCGATGTAGCCGAAACCTGAGCAGATGACAGGTGTCCAGCCGCTCGGCCTAGGGATGGGGGGAGGGCAACCAAGGGAGGGGGCCTGGGGCCCATGGGGACGTCTGTACCTCCCCTCCATCCTTTGTCATCAGGGCTTCCTCATGCTTGCAGAGCCCCAGAGGGGAGGAAGAGCAGAGCTTACCAGAAAGCACAGATTTGACCCGATATTTATATGTTGTAAAGTTAAATAAAGTGTTTCTTACTGTTTGATAACTTCCTTGTTCGTGTGTCTGTCTTCCAGGGCTCGGTCCCTGTCCAGGAGTCACAGACCTGGCTCCATTCCCCCACTTCACTTTACAGGCCATAGCACCTGCCCCAGGTCACAGAGGCCAAAGTTATGCTAGCACCCAGGTTCTCTTTGCTACAAAGTGCTGCCATGTCTACGCTAGATGAAATTCTTCCAGGGCAGCTGTTGGTACCAATGCAGTCACTGGAGTTCTGTCACTTTCTAATCCAACAATCACAACAACTTTCAGATCTTAATAGTTTCTTAGCAAACAGTATAATGGAAAGAGAACTGCAGTCTCTCCCTCCTAAGATCCGTAGTCGGAAGCTTCCTGTTTGGGGTGTTCAGGCTGTCCTGTGTGGACTTGCTTTGCTTTGGCCCCTCAAAAACTAAGAATAGTGGGTGCAAACTTCAGCTTGAGATAAGGAAAAACTCCCCAACGATGACAGCTGCCCAGTGTGGAAGGCGCCGCCCTGGGAGGCAATGGAACATCAAAGAGGGGATTCTTCTCCACGTAGGAGCTGGACTAGACAGCCTGAGAGCTCTGCAGAGCATGCTCCAGCAGGAAAAGGCCTCTCACGTTACATGCTGTGGTTGACTGCAGGTCTTGAGAATGGATCAGGCCTTGAAGAAATAGGGTGTCTTTACTGGATACTCCCTAAAGTTTGCTTAACCACTTCTCTCAAACCTCATTAAATGTGCCTGGGAAATAACTAGTCAAGGTCAGGTGGGGCTCTTTGACTGACCAGAGCAGTCAGGGATTCCACAAAATTCTCTCCAGGCCTGGCTCACAGCAGGACACCACACACACCAGCCCCCAGGCTCAGTCAATTCAGCTTTATTTTAGTGCTGGTTTTTTGTCATCCCCTACCCCCATCTCAACAGCTGCACTAGTAATAATCTCAACAGTTTTATGAGGTCTCCTCTTGTCCTCCTGCCCCAAAAGGTCCACGGTGAGGGGCTAAAGACCTGGCCAAGGCCAGGTGGCAGAATCAACAGCCTTCATTCAGCTGCCAGAGGGAGAGGAAGAAAGACCTCTGAGGGGCTAACTTTTGTTTTTAAGAGTCAAATTCTCTTGGGGGAAAAAGGAGAGAAATCAAAGGGCTACTTTCCTTTTAACACAAATTATGGCAGCTGACAACCTAAGCAGGACTGAGGAGGAAAAAGGAAAGGATTATGTTCCTCAAACTGCCAAGGATGGAGTAAAAAATTCTATTAAGAAAACAAGGCTGTCCCCCCTGCCCCCAGGAAGCCACGCTGGTCCTGTGGATCTCCACCTCAGCTTTCCGACTGAGCCCCAATAGGGAGCCAAACTCCCCACCTTTCCTGAGCAGGAGGAGCAGACAGGAAATGCACCCCCATCCCCCTCAAACCCAAACTCTTCCTTCCCAGGGTAGCTCATCTTACTGTCTCTGTCTAGACCCTTCAAAAGGGCTCCCCATCTTCAAACTTCCACACCATCCTAGAAAAATGTTCCACAACTGTAAAAGAAACCCAGACTTTCATTTGTCATGCACAGAACTGCTAAAGCACTTCCTGGGAGAGGCTGCTGTCTCCTAAGGGGCCTGCACTAGCCTCGAAGCTTCTGGGCAGGCCCTGTTCTCCACCCAGACAGGGACAGGCCATGTGGGAGCTGTTTGCTATTCCACAGAATTAGGAGCTAGGGCAGGAGGAGGAACTCTGGAACCCTGAGCAGGATACCCTTACCAGGAAGGGATGGGAGAGACCAGGCTGATGGCTCACAGCCCTGGCTCCATTAGTGCCATTTGCCAGAGAGAGGGCCTCTCTCCCTGTCAGAGGATCATTACCCCTTGGGTCTTACAGGAAAGAGATAAAAATTTTTCACAATCTATACTACAGCCCCTAACTCTGCCCACAGTACGGCCTAGGGACTTAAAAAAACCAGAGGGGCACTGCCTACCCTGAATACCGAAAAATGGAGCTTGAACCAAAATGACAACTGAATCTGTCTGGCTCTGTGAAATCTCATTCCCCTCCAAAGGCACCAAAAATCAAGCTCTTTGGGACTTTTCCCCCAGCTGCTGGGACAGGACAGGAGGGGGCTGGAAGAGCTCACAGGCTGGCATTAAAAGAGATAAAGATGGATCTTGTGGCTCCCCAGTCAACACCCTCAGGAGGAAGTGCAAAAGCTGGGAGGTGTCTTGCTGGAATAATCCATGGGATCCTTGGTAAACCTTGCAAGGCAAGAGGCCACCCCAGCAGCCCTCCTCTAGTTGGACCAATACTTCTTTCTTTTTTGGCATTTTGGCACCTCTGACACAAGAGGCCTGCCAGAAAGAGCCAGAGTGATCGAGGGCATCATCTCACACCAAATAGCGCAACAGCAGCCTGCCAGGCAGCCAGGCCACACCAGGGAGGCCCCAGATACTGGGGGGAGAGGCCACTTGGCAAAGGTCAAAGTTGGAGGAGCTCAAGTGTGGCCCTCAAACCTCCCTCTAGTGGCAGGGCTCCCTCCCTTCTCTTGGATAAAACAGCTGCTGCATTCACCCCAGGAGAGACCTCAGGGAAGCAGGTGCTGAAGAGCTGGCCACCTGGCAAATTTAGGAAAGAAAAGCCCAACAACTGGAATTGGGAATGGTGGCTTTCACCAACAGCCTCAACTGTCCTCAGGCCCCTCTGAACACACCTCTGTACTGGAATCAAAACAGGAACCTTGAGAAAGGCTCAGCACCAAGTTTCCCACAAGGGAACTCCCAATACTAAACAAAAACTATGCCCCTTCTCTGCATATGCACTAAGATCCTCTGGGGTGGGGGAGTGGGGGACGGTGTTTGAGACTTGGCCTCATCCATCCACCACCAGGATATTCCAGCCAACGTGGCAGGTGGGGAAGGAACCCCAGGAACAGGGCAGTGGAAGGACCAGTTCACTTTAGCCTTTAGACCCAATGGGAACAATGATGGCACAGTCTATGGAACCCATGGGAACTGGGGGGGGAGGGGGCAGTACGGGGTTATGCTGGCAAGGTGGATGGGCACTGTGGCTCTACAGTAATATGTCCCAAAGCTACCCGTGCTGAAAACATACGAGAATCAAAGGGGTCAAACCAAACACAGGAAACATCAGCCTGACAGGACACAAAATACTCCCCTCCCCAAGAGTCGGCTTGGGAGGGGAAGAAGTAAAAGGTTGTGCTGACCCCTTGAGAAAAAAAATGTCTACTGGGTACCCAGGTCAAATCGAGGGCAAAATGAAAAAATTAACACCAAAAGAACAACAAAAAAACCACAAACTGGTGTTCAGTTGTTGCTCCAGCAGAGCAGACAGACAAGAGCTGGCCAGGCTTCCTCCTGGACACCAGTTTTCTGCAGGCGCCACATGGCTCAGGACTGAGGGAAGGCAGGAAAGAAAACTCAACTCTGGCTACCATCACAAACATCAAAGGAACAGGAAAATGAAACCAGCCCCCAACAAGGACAATTGCACCCCAGCATATCTAACATGACTAGAGGGAGGGGCTGCTTATTTAAAAAAAAAAAAAAAAGGACTGGGGGTGGTGGGCAGAGGAAGAGCCAGAGGAAAAAGAGGAAAGCAAAGAGTCATTGGGGATAGCCGCCCTCGGGTCTGGTGGCTGTAAACCTCAAACCCAGTCCAAAAGCTGCCTGTGTCTGTAAACAAAACCCTCCACTGAGAAACAGGCCACTTGGCCAGATTGGGTGGGTCCCTGGGCAGCAGGGCCTGGCACTCCATGCTTCCCATGCCCTGGCCCTACCTTGGCCCTAAGGGACAGCCTTATTCAGAGATGTCTCTCCCCTTCAAAGGGCAAGTACTCTTCAGTTTTAAATATGTTGTTTCTTGCAGAAGAAACAAACCTTAAAGGAAACAAAACAAAACAAACAAAACACAACACAACACTGTCCACGGAGCTTCACATCCTTAAGGCGTTCTCTTAAGTTAAGGGTCAGCATCTGGCTCCAGAGCCTCTGGGCCACCCTGGGACGCCCCTGCCGGGCCCATCACCTCTACGTTGAGTGCAGTGGGATGACGAATTTGCAGCCAAAGGGTGAGCGGTAGTTGATGCCCACCTCTTGGAACACCTGCTGAGGGATGCCGATATCACACAGGTAAACGCGTCCCGCACGCTCACCGAGGGGCAAGGGCAGGCCCAGGGCCAGGGACCACTTGGCATCGATGCCCAGCTCGGCCTCGCACATTGGTGGGTCTATGCTGAGGACAGGTGCCCGGTTCTGATTGGCCCAGTCCACAGCCGCTTTGTACCAGGGCTGGTCTCGGAGGAAGGCATTCTCGTGACAATCCAGGCAATTGATCACCAGGTCCACAGGGCTGGTGGGGAGATCTGCAAGTGAAAACAGTCAAGTCTAACTCTGGCCTTAAAGACTGCCCTGAGTCAGGGCACTTGCCTCACCGTACCCTCAGTTTCTGTAAACACCAATCATTCTTATGCCTGACCACATCCTCTCCCAAGTGAGAGGCCGTCCCAGTGCTTGCATCCATATTTCTACTGTGGATAGCTGCACTTGTTCAGGGGAACAAGCAACAGCCAAGGGCTCTGCTTCTGGAAGGTGATGTTTGGGGGAGCCCAGCCATCAAGGTGATCCTGTGAAGGCAGCGTGCAGAAAGAGGGCAGTGCTTGGAGCAGCTGAAGGACCCCGGGCAAGGCGGTTAATAACGTGGAGCTGCAGCTTCCTCATCCATAAGAGAAAGGTTCTAAGAGATGATCTCTCAGGTGTCTTCTAGCTAGAAATCCTAAACAGGATTGATACCACATAATGGGATAGGGACAAGCATTTCAAGTGAAACTAGATGGGTTTAGACCTTAAGGCTTACTTACAACCAAAACACATCTCTCCCTTAGAATGTCTTGCATTGTAAAAGCTCTGCTTGCAGTATGGACTTGAAGATGCTCCATCAAAGGGAGATGACATTCCAATCCATTCTGGGGACCGTGATCCAGGCTTTCAGCTGGACTCATTCTCCCTCTAGCAGGAGAACTAACAGGAAGGGAAGCTAAATTCTGCCCCTACCACTGCAGTTAAGGTTGAATCTCCCCTCAGGCACCAAAAGGAAGATTTCTGAGCAGTGGAATACACAAAGCTGAGAGAGGTGGCTTGTCTAAGGTTACATGGTTACATTGTTACCATCATTACCACCACCACCACCACCACCACCATCACTGTCATAACATTTTTATAGTGCTTCAAGGTTTCCAAAGTTCTTTACAAATACCTAATTTTGTCACAACAATCTTGGGAAGTAGGTACTATTATTCTCCTCCTTTTACAGATGAGGAAACTGAGGCAGACAGTGATGAAGTGTCTTGCCCAGGATCACAATACAGTTGTGTCCGAGGCCAGAGGTGAGCAGTCTTTCTGGCTCTGTTAGCTGCCAAGACCCTTGATTCTATTCCCCTAATAGCAACCCAACCCAAACTGATAAAGTGCTACAGGTTTACAAAGCATTTTCCTCACAATCACCTGGTGAAGCAGGTGGCATAAGGGTCATTATTCTGTTTTTTGCAACTGAGAAAACAGGCTCCGCTAAGAACGGCTCAGTGGCTTATCTGAAATCACAGTTAGCAAATGTTGGGGCTGGAATTTAAACTGGGGTCCTAGAACCTAGAACTGGAAGGAACCTTAGGAATCCTCTAAACCAGGTTTTTTAAATCATTTTTGTGTAGTGGACCTGTTGACAGTGTCTGGTGAAGCCTATGGAGCCTTTCTTAGAATAGTGTTTTTAAATGCATAAAACAAAATACATAGGATTATAAAAGAAATAAATTCTATTGAAATATAGTTATCAAAATAGTTTTTAAACGTTCATAGACCCCAGGTTAAGAACCTCTGATTCAGATCAACTCCTTCAGCCTACAGATGAGGAAACTGAGGCTCAGAGATAAGCATTTATCAAGTGCTCCAGGTCACCTTGAATAAGTATGAAAGCAATAATTCAAACCCAACTCTCCTGATTCCAAGCTCACCGCTCTTTCCTTTGCCTGCTGCTGCCTCCTGTAAAGCTCTCAGATCAGCCTGGGAGGGGGAGGGGGAGGGGGAACACATGTTCTCTGTTATACTGTTCCAGGCAGTGGGGCTCACTGAGATCCCCTCCATATACACTTAACTTCCAAGCCATCAGTGATTTGCTGGCCTCAGGATGAAGGTCAGCTTCCTTTGACACATCCCTCATCCCAGGCACAGTAGATTCTATTCTGTATGAGGGGAAGCATCATCTTTTTAGAATGTGTGCCTACCTTTCCACCCGGGCTGAATTTTGTACTTCTTTGGATCCCCAAGACCTCGCCCAGTAGGCTCATAAAATATTTGTGGTTGCTGATGAGGGATCCTGGCCTTTGAGTTAAGTCAACACCTGATTCACTGTGCAACTTAAGGTATCGGCTTCCACCCTGTGAGTCTCAGTTTCCTGCTGTGTAGAATGAAGGGGTTGGAGGTGCCTTCCATCAGTAAGATACTATATGAACTAGCCATCCTATGAATGATACTCGCTTTCTAAGTACCACTGTTTCTACGTGCTGCCACCAGATGGCAGAAATAGATTGCAAAAGTCAGCTACAAGGAGACCAATCAGCCCTTGAATTCCCTGGCTGGGAAAGGACCTTGCCCAAGGTCACACAGTGAGTGAGAGGCAGAGCTAGGACTAGGGCCCAGGTCTCTGACCTCTCAGTCTGCAGCAGAGTAATGTGAGAGGGGATGAGCAGGGGAATGGGAACCTTTCCACCTTCTTGCTGCCCCGCCCTGGGGTCCCGTGCTCTCACTCACCTTTGAGACTGGACACCTGCTGGCCCTGTGTCTTGCTGAAGAGGGACAGTTCATTGGTGATAGATTCCAACATCTTGACAAAGTTAGGCAGGAAGAGGATAACGTGGACATCATGGTTGGCAAGGTGTCGCCCACAGCTTATGCCCTGAGCCCCCTTCACGTGGGGACCACAAAGTAGGGCTACTGTAGGCCTTTGGTGGACATTCTTGGGATTCAATCTGGAAAGGAGGGATGGGAGGACATAAGCTACTAGTTCTTCGGACCAAGCCACCCAGTACTAATCAAGCATCCTGAAGAAGGAATTGTCTTCTACCCACATCTCCTCAGCAGGCTGCTCCTCCACGCATCTGCAGCTGGCCATATTTATGCTAGCAAAACACATCGAGACTAGAAGACCGGCATTCCCATTTTCCCCTGACCTGGTGCTGTGCCATCCAGACTAATACCCCAAACATATTCCTGCCATCTTATCACTCTAGCTAACTCAAGAACCCTCAATGGCTCCCTAATTGCTTATGGTAGTGAGTCCAAAGCCTCTGCCTTGCTTTCATTACCTGACCTCCCTTATTTCTCTGGCCTTCCCACTCCTCAGCATACAGCACTACTCCAGCTAGGTCATCTCTTTATTGTCCCTGAGTAAGCCACATTCAATCCCGACCTTGTTCTTGCCATGCTCCATGGGGAACACCCTTAACTAAAACCTGCCCTTCCAGCAAGGTCCAGCTGAAGTCCTGCCTTCTTCAGGAAGTCTTCCCTGCCCATTGTGATCACTCTCTTTTCTGATTCTATGTCATTTGTAGTCAGCATCATTCCATTTGGCATCTGTTTCAGGTGTATTTCCTTACCTCAATAAAAAGTATAACCTTGAGGGGGAGGGGGAGGAGACAACCTAGACATTTATACAGCTTATATAAAGACTGAACAGCATCTACACAAATGGCCTAGGTCAGGGGTTGTCAACAAATGCCTCCTTAGGCTTTTGGATCACAAAATGTTCATTTTGTCCAGCCTTAGAGCTGGAAGGGTTCGAACCTTAAGACACCACTCAGTCCAATCCCTTCATTTCAAAGATGAAGAGAAATGAGAACCAATGTGAGGAAAAGCCTGCCTGAGACCACCGAGTGTCGCAGCTGTGACTCAAGCCAGGTCTTCTAGCTCCACATCCGATGCTTTTCCTACTACCATGTTCTGCCTCCCAACCCAAACTATACTAAAGACCAGGGAAATAGTTATGTTTCCTACCTCCTCAGCAGACTGAGTGCAGTGGTTCTTGGGAGGTTCAGGGGTGAAGACAACAAAGACAGAGACCACAGCAGACACTGGTTACAGGGAAAGACAGGCAAGGATGGAGGGAGGACAGACTGGGAAGACAGATAGTGAAGGAGAGAACAAACAAGGAGTGGGGTCCAGGGACGGGGAAGAAGATAGATGGTGGGGTCCTCTCAGGAATAAAGTATCAGAGCCTATCTCTAGTAGAGTGCTCTAGATCAGGGCTTCTTAAACATTTTCCACTCATGACCCATGACCCCTTTGCACCTTTTGGCAGCGTTCATTAGCAGTTGTGTGGCCTGAGGACGTGCGCAGCGCAAAGTGTGCATGCTTTGTGTTCAGAACCAAGGCTGCAGTGAAGTTGCAAGATGCAACACAGACAAGCGCTGCCCGAAACACCTTGGATTCATTACGCATTTGATTTTTAATTATATCTTGGTCGTCGTGCATTCAGAAACCTTTCACTGTTGCCAAATTTTTCATGACCCCCCATGAGGTTTAACAAGCACTACTCTAGATAAAGAATTCTATGTGGGTTCTGAAAAGCAACCTCAAATCCTCTCCAGGGGTGCTTTCCAGGTGGGACTCGGAGGGGAATGTCATGATTAGTTAGAGGATATCTTTGATGACCCTACTCCCTTTCGCAGGAGCTCACTCCCGAACATCACCAAAGGTTCAAGGTTCTGCTCCTCATGATGCCCTGACATAGCTGAGGCAGTGATTACAGCATATTTAGGCAGAGGACTGGCACATTCAATGGGAGAAAGTCATCAGAGAGGGTTGAGGCCTCAGTTCTCTATCCCTCCAAGTGAGGGGGTTGGCCTTCATTTCTCAGGTCCATTGAGATGCACGTCTAGCTCTCATGACCTATACAGTCATATTCAAAAGAGGCCTTCTGCCATCCAGCCTTTGTCCTTTACTTCTTCAGGATGCTGATGCTTCTTTAGATTAAATGAAGTCTCACTAGGCCACTGACAACAGTGGGAGGATCTGGAAACGCTGTGGGACAAGAGTAAAGGAGACCTCACAGGTCCTCAAAGAAGGCTTCAAGGTCTACAGAGAGCTTGGATGCACCTGGGTGAGGCCTAGGCTTTCAAAGAGGCTCAGCAGATGCCTTTTGGACTCTCCGAGGGGGTTTTATGTTAAGACTCCAACCCTACAGACTTCATCTGAAGAAGTTAGAATCTTTCTCCTCCCCCAAAGTCAGCAATGTCATTCATAAATCCTTAGGAACAGTATGCTGTTTGTGACAGGCCAAGGGAGGGAAACCAATTTACAGCTAAACCCATTTTATTCCCACCTGACTTGCCTTGGGCTTAGAATAAGGAGGTAGAGGTACCTAAGCCCACTGGACATTATGGTAGCAAATCTTGGGTGATGAACTTGGGACAAGTTCACAAACAGAACTTGAGGATATCCCAGAGGGCAGCCTTGGGGCCACAGATTTCAGTCATGAAAGGACAGACTGAAGAAATGATAACTGGGTGATGGAGAGGTAAGGTGAGAGCAGATAGGAGGAAAGGCCTTGGAAACACTATAAAGGAAAAGCAACTCTGATCACAGGACCATAAGGAAGAACCAAACTAACTCCCTGGCTGCAAAGTGGGCAGCTATTTATTCCAATCACTCAACAGGATCGTGTTAAGCACGGTGGCTCTTCTGGGCAAGGCACTATGTGGTGGTGAAACATTAAAGATGTTGATCTCCAAACCCCAAGCCCCACCCTTCCCCTAGCCCCCCAGGTTCCAGAGACACAGACTCGCCTGTTAGGTCCTCCCAACAGGGTCAGGGCCATTTGGCTGGCACAAACTCCAGTCATCTCCAGCCTCCGCTCCAGTGTCAGGCCATGCTTCTCAGCTACCGATAACAGCTTCTTGTGCAACTCGTAGGAGACACTTGGCACAACCAACCCCGAGTCTGTGACTCAGAAAGGAAGTGGAGAGAAAGGAGAAAGACATGAGTAAGGGCAAAGGATCCAAGACAGGCCTGGAATATTCAGGTACAATCATCTCATCTTCTGAGCCTTGGAATAAGTTACGTTTTGATAATTTTCTAAAAGCTCAAGAAGCTAAAGTAGAATTGACTTTCAGCTTTGACTGCTAAAGTGAGTGTAACTGAGAATAACAACTTAGTGGCCCAAATACAGACCAGGCCCCAAATAAGACCTCTTAGAAAACTGAGGTACAGAAGCACACACCCAGAGGCATCTTCTGAAAAATTATACCAAAATGCCATATAAATATATACATGTGAAAGGTTCTCTTCTTAACATTTACTTCAACTCATCATGGACATTGTCTTCATTTTCATCCTTTGTGCTTTTTTTCATCTTGTACACTTGTCGCACCTCAATAACAAGTGCGAACACACACTTTAGACAAGCCTGATTTAGAAAAGAAGTTCAGTCTGTTTAGGACCAAAACAGTACAATGAGGAAAAACAGTCCATATTTATCCAGTGACCTTGTAGTAGCACAAATACAATCCCTCTCATTTTACAGATGACAAGTGGAGACAAAGGGAGGTGACGAGCTTTGTCCCCAGTCATAGAATAAGGGGCAGAAGTCAAACTTGGATTTTCTGATTCCAAGTCTCATACTTTTTCCCACAGTGAATGTAGGGGTCCACTTCTTACTTAAATTCACTACTGAGGTGTCTATCCTAACAACTTCCAGGGCACATGTCTGACAGTGAGAAGTGGAGAGAGACTTTCACTGAGAAATTAAGATACATCCACCTTGACAGCGTTTTGTCAAGGCATTTCTATGCCTCGTTCCCCAGAAGCACTATCTTAAACTGTCAAAAGAACCTTAGGAATAGAAGTAGAGTAGATGCTCAAACATCTGCCATCCCTTTGCCACTTAATGGCAATACCACGTCAGTTGTTCATCTTTCTCTCTTCCATGTCAATAGTTTTTCTTTTCCTAATAAGAAACTGAGCTAGGCTTTATGTTTTCAAGCAATTTTTCAACCCTGCTTTTCTGAAGTGAGTGCAGATTAGACTCAGAGTTTTACTTAGCTATTAAAAAAATAATGAACATATTTTCTCTAGTAGAAATGGAAATAAATGTGTAGAGAACAGCAGGATGGTATTCCCGTTAACCCCCAAAGCAAAACATTTATTTCAATCATTTATTCAACAAACATTAGGTACCTACAATGAGAAGTACGCTGTTACATTCTGAGAAGAAAAAAAGATAAATAATACACGATAGCTACCACCTTCCAGAAGAGAAGGGTGGAGGGGGTGGTGTTTAAACCATATACACAAATACATAGGTTAGACCAGAGGTCTCCAAAGTTATCTGGCCTACTGCCCCCTTTAAAAAAAAAAAAAATTACTCAGCACCCCCCCCTTAGAAATCTACTTTCTTTAACCCTTTAACAAGATTTTGAAATTTGTGTCATTTCAAAAAAATAGAACATATTTTTTAAAAATGATGTATCTTTTTTTTTTTAAAAGGCAATCAGGGTTAGGTGACTTGTGCAGGGTCACACAGCTAGTATCAAGTGTTTGGTCTGAGGTCAGATTTGAACTCAGGTCCTCCTGACTTCAGGGCCGATGCTCTATCCACTGCGCCACCTAGCTGCCCCCAAAATGATGTATCTTAAATTTAATAATTTATTGTAAATTTGTGGGCTGTTTCCTGTATTGCAACTTTGATGATGCAATATTGTGTCACATAATCATACAGTACACATAAACAAGTATATTATAAACAATATATGCACATATTCCTGCTGATGCATGCTGGACTTCCCAACAATGGGCAACATGCTTGCCTTCCAACACTTGCTTGTTAAGGTCTATTGGCAGACTTGACCACTGATCAGTTATAACTTGCATTTTATGCGTTTACTTGGAAAATAATGAAATCGCTATGACTTTAACTCTGTTACACAACAGATGAAACATGTATAACAGTTTTTAAAAATTTTATTTTCTTCTTTCCTTATGCTTCCACTGCTCCCTTATTTTTATTCAATGCCCTCCAACTGCACCTGAGGCTACTACCACCCCCTCATCGTTCCAGCACCCTGCAAGGCCCACTTTTGAAACCTTTGGAGTAAACTATGATAAATCTACAAGACTATAAAATGATGAAATTGGATGAGGATGAAAAAAATTTCCAGCTATGGGAATTAGGAAAGACTTCATGAAGGAGATGCCATTTGAATTGGCCTTTAAAGGATGAGTAGATGCACTTGTGGACATGGCCAATGGGAATCTGTTTTGCTTTATTATGCATATTTGCTACAAAGATTTTCTTTCTTTCACTGAGGGGGGGTGGTGTAATGCAGTAAGGAGAAAAAAATATATATACTAGAAAAAAATTTAATTTAAAAAAATTACTGAAAAAAATTCTCTCAAATCTTACCTTCTCTAAGTCTTTCCCAGTCTGTCTCACCTCCACTGCTAGCGCCTTCAAACTCAGATTATCTTTCATTTACACTATTATCTTGTGTGTACACAGATATTTGCATATTGTCTTCCCAACTAGAATAAGTTTCTTGAGGGCAGGGGTCCTTGCATTTCTTTTTATTCCCAGAATTTGACATACAGTAAACATTTAAATATTATCTCATTTGAGCCTTACCTCTGTGAGGTACGAGTTATTATTATCTCCATTTTACAGATGAGAAAACTGAAGCCCAGAGAGGTTAAATAACTTGCCCACAGTCAAACAATTAGGATGTGTCTGAGGCAGGATTTGAACTTGTCTTCCTGATTTCAGGTGCAGAGTTGGAAGGGTAAGAAGTCAACAGGGAGATTAGGGATGGGAGGGAAACAAATCTGAGATTATGAACAGCTTGAACACAGCCATGGAGTTGAAAGTGTGGGGGCACACTGAAGGGAAAAGGGAATCATCACTTTCCAGATGGCGGGAATACAGAATAGAAGGGGGGATAGTGAGAGAGATGGCAGGAAATTTAATATCCCCTCACTTCCATTTTATTTTGAAACATAAGAAAACAGCCATCAAAAAACAAAAACAAAAAACCAAAAAACTGAAGACTCAGACTTTCCTAGACAGCAAAGGCAAAAATGGTAACGTTGAAAGTATGTGGTCTGAATTCTAGATATTTCACACACTAGTATCCAATTACTATTCCTGGGCCTTGGGCAGCCAAGAAAGGAAAGTAACTAGCAGACTTAAGTCAGATTCTGTAAGTAACTTCAATTGCTTGGTCATCTGAAGTTGTCCATACCCCATTAGGGGACAACACTACTTTTAAAATATCAGAGCTGGCTGGTGGTCAGCAGAGCAACAGCCAAAAAGCCATTACAATACAGACTAATGAAACAAAAGAGACTTCACTTTGACTTCATGGATGCATGATCTCATTGGTATGACATTCACTTGTAAATGAAACTAGAAGGACAATAACAAACAAACAAGAAATGGAACAGATCAGCTGGCGTTTCTACGGCAATCTATTCTCATCAACACTGACAATGCAATCAGTGGTATTAGCACTTACGAAGTTGGCAAAAGTAGCTGGACATACAGAGATACAGGAGAAATCCAAGTTTAAAGTAACACAATTTACAATAGATATACTTTAGCCCCAACTTCCAAATTGAACGTTCTTCATAACAAAGAAAGCAACCAATATAGTGAATATGGCTAACAATATATGCAATATTTTGTCCTTACAGTCCCTGACTTCTCAAAAGAAGATCTAGGTGTTTCATTCTCTCTTCTCTAGGAATCTTGTTGGTGATTAAATTATTCTGAATTCAGCCTCCTTTTTAGGGATTTTTCATTTAAACTTTTTTAGTCACTATGTATGAATACTTACTGTTCTGATTCTATTTATCTCACAGCATTGGTTCCTAGAAATCTTCCCCATGCTTTTCTGAATTCCTCCTATTTCTATGCCACAGTGGTGTCTGGTCATTCCCCAAGCAATCAATATTTGTTTTGTTTCCAATTCTTTGCTACTATTTACATTTAGGAGAGCTTTGTTTCTGTCTTTGATCTTCTTAGAAGACAAGAGCCCAGCAGCACTGGGTCAAGGGGTCAAAGAGTTTCTCTTCTTGCACATTTCCAAATTATCATACAGAGCAATGGACTAACCTAAAGTGCATTAATTAATGTAAGATAACAACTGTAAGACTACCCAGGGATCAATCTTCAAGCTATCTCAAAAAGAAGCAGATTCAAAAAGAACTGAAAAAAAAAAATCACAGATGGTACTATCACCCCCAAAATGCAGACTGAGAAGACATCAGCAACAATCAGACAAGTCAACTGTCTGCTCTCATCTGGATAAAACCCTCTTATGGATAGTCTATGAATATGTGACATATTTTTGATGAAAACACAAGAAGGAAACAAAGGCTCTCATAGTCCACCATCTTGTGTTTGCTGATCACAAAGAAGCAACCGATGCTATAAAACAAAATGCAAGGCTCTGCTACAATAAGCCATCTGCCAGCATACATTATCAGACACTATTCCATGACAGACCTCCAAGAGTAAACTTTGTGCAGTGACTCGCTCTTGACATCCGGCAATGATCACCAAAAATCTTCAACAATATAATTAAGATGCCCTGCCCCAAGTTCATACAGAAGAAGGATTCTCTACTCGCAGAGAGATGGTACAGGTGCGCTTATTTGTAGCAGGCATTTTACTGACTGTACTGGGTGTGGAAACACTAGGAGTTTCCAATGGGATATGTATTGTTTCAAAAGAAAAACCAAGCGAATGAAGAACACATACTGTACAACTTATATAAATGAGCTGAACAGACAACCCACTGGAAGTCCATCAATATATCTTGCTGGGCCCACAACTGAATAGGAGGTGGTGATGGGGCTGTATCACATTGGGAAAGAGCTACAGAACTTTCAGTAATTTTAAGTAGCTGAATGCCACCAAGTCCCTATTCTTAACATCAATGTTCTCT